CAACTTTCAATCATTCCTCATGAAAGTTGGTGCGGCTTGAAATCGAACGAGATGTTCGGAGAAATGAAACTTGAGTTCAGCGAAAATACACACCCCACCTCCCCCCCCCTCCTCAAATTTGGAGCTCAGAACGAGACCATTAAACGGATCTTGTGCTCCGGAATACAGCGTATCACTAACATGAGAGTGAAGGAAAGTATATATTTAATACGCCCATCCGTGTAGGGTTGAAATTTGAGGGGAGAGCCAAGTGGGTGTGCGATAGACTTACCTCCACGTGGTGCACCCTGGAAATATGCCTTCACTATCAACATCTTATTTGGAAGCGGAGGGGTGTGTGCGATAGACTTACCTCCACGTGGTGCACCCTGGACAGCGTGCGATAGACTTACCTCCACGTGGTGCACCCTGGGCAACTTTGCGATAGACTTACCTCCACGTGGTGCACTCTGGGCAACGCATACTCATGAGGCAAAAAGTTCATTAATCTGCAGTTAGCTGCTGACTTCAAACTACCATGGCCCGACTGTGTGTCATATTCCTCCACTTCCACAGTACTCATCTCTCATTTTTCTCTACCTTCATGCTTGTCTCTTTTGCATCTTTGAATCACTCCTCTATTCCTCTTTCCACTTTTTGTGACTTCGATGTTCCACCCCTCTGTGAAATCTGAAATTAACTAAAGGGATAATGATTACCTTAATAAAGCCTACCATTTAAAATAAATATAACTGTTCTGAAAGCCTTTAGGCTCCAATACACTGCTGTAATAATACCATGCAGGTTTTCTGTGAACTCAATATCGCTGGTGTAAAATCAACTCAATTCGTCTTCATATTATCAATGGGGTGATTTGGATAAAGCTGCAACTATGTCGGTTCTATCATACAAAGATGATTGGTGAAATAAAGATTAAAACGAGTTCCCCTTTTCGCCTCTTTAACCTAGTTGAGGGAACTTGGCATTACCAGTAGAGGCCATTGATTATACGATAAAAATAAATGCCATCAAATTCCAACAGCTTTCCAGTTAGAGGTTCAAGCAATTAAGAGGCTGAAACCAAGGCGACTTTAAGCCTAGCAATGAGTGAAGTCGCCAATTGTCATGCATAAATATTACGAGTTAAGCATCTACTTGCCCAGCGAATATGAAACAATTGTCATTTAATGTAGTTGGCAATGGACATTTGCCCGTTGCCAACACTCTCAATTCATCAATTTACTTAATTGCAAATGTCCATCTCCAATAGCAAGAGATGAGTCATATAGGCTGGCCAGGTTGACAGTATTTGATTGACGTATATGCGTCATATAATGGGGTAGTATGTTGGTCTCTTCTAGCCACAACAGCCACAGTAGCCACCTCGGCAATTCTCCACTTGATGACAAATTGTTTGCACCGTGTTGGGAGGGCAATGACCAGCTGCCATAATCTCCTTCATTTGATTTGGCAAGAATTTTCATGATTCCAAATTGTGACGTAGGGTTTAAACTTTCAAAAATGTGCGGAACCACCTTTAAGACACCTGTGGAAGACAACCAACCCTGCATAAGTTAACTAATCGATCAATATGCAATGAAGTAAACAGGGTCCTCTTGAGGAGAGAATTTATTCTATAATGGTGTGTGGTTTCAAATGGCAGGCGTTATGATAGGTATCATGGGGTGTGCAATAGACTTACCTCCGTGGTGCACCCTGGGCAATGTATATTTAGACTTACCTCCACGTGGTGCACCCTGGGCACCGTATACTCATACGGCAAAAAAGTCTATTAACCGGCAGTTGTTGCGATAGACTTACCTCCACGCGGTGCACCCTGGGCAACCCACTCATACGGCAAAAAAGTCTATTAACCGGCAGTTGACTTATCACTTCTCATACGGCAAAAAAGTCTATTAATCGGCAGTTGACATCTTGACTTCTGACTTCAAACTACCATGACCCCACTGTATGTTACAAAGTATACTCATACGGCAAAAAGTCTATAAACCGGCAGTGGACTTCTGACTTCAAACTACCCTCACCCCACTATATGTCACAACTTCTCACTTCAAACTACCATCACCCCACTGTATGTCATTGTGTATGCGCATACGGCAAAAAAGTCTATAAACCGGCAGTTGATCTAACCCTAACACGGCAAAAAGTCTATAAACCGGCAGTTGACCTCTGACTTCAAACTACCATGACCCCACTGTATGTCATATTTGGGCAACAGACCCATACGGCAAAAAATCTATTAACCGGCAGTTGACTTCAAACTACCATCACCCCACTGTATGTCATATTCGTCTACTTCCACTTCAAACTACCATCACCCCACTGTATGTCATATTCGATCGCTTCCACAGAACTACGTTGTATATCCGATATGAGGGCACAAATATATGTATTTTATGAGTTTTCTTATTTTTTTCCTAGTATTTAAAAGTGATTGAAATCATGTATATTTACAGGTATTTATGAGGCTTGATTTAAACCATTAAACGTCTTGAATTCATTTTATATCGTTTTGCCTAAAACCGTTATCCATGACTTCAATAAAGTGGACGCATTGAAACAAAACTCGCTACAATAAGCAGTGTGAAGTAAAGTGTCTACTAACATTTATAAGTAACATTTGTGGTGGGCGATAGACTTACCTCCACGTGGTGCACCCTGGACAACTATATTCATACGACAAAAAGTCTATTAGCTGGCATTTTACTTCTGACATCACTGTATTTCACATTCGACCACTTCAACAGTACTCATCTTACCTTTCCTCTGCATTTGTGTCTGTCTGCCTGTCTGTCTGTCTGTCTCTTTTACATCTGTGAATCACTCTTCTATCCCTCCTCTCGAATTTTTCTCACTTTGGGGTTACTCCACTCCATGAAGTCTGATGACGGCTAAAGGGCTAATGATAACTATCATGACGCCTGCCTTTTGAAATTTGAGGCAGATTGGNGTTTATAGTGGAGTTTAAAAATTGAATTGTGGTTAGTCTATGTTTGCATT